AGATTATCTTAGAAAAGAGCATTTTGAGCATTCTAGTGTTTACCTTTAAGTATTTAGTAAACTTCATTTTATACTGGTGAAAGTACATTAGAAGTTGAAAACTGCTAAATAATCTTTATGATTTACCATCAAACACATTGTCAGAGCTATGTCAGAAGTCATATAGATTATTTTAGAAAAGAGCATTTTGAGCATTCTAGTGTTTACCTTTAAGTATTTAGTAAACTTCATTTTATACTGGTGAGAGAAAGAAAACGACCATTTCCCTTTCTCCCACAAATAAGAGTTTGATAAATAAAATCTTTTTTGTTTGTTTTTGTTTTTGTGCTCAGGGGCTACTCTCAATTCTGTGCTGAGGGCTTAGTTTCCAGGGTATTCGGGGGACCATGCAGTGGTAGGCACTGAACCTGAGCCTCTGACATTTATGAGTTCGTCTCATCACTATCACTATTTCACGCAAATAAAAATTTAAGTGAAAGTCATGTCTTGTTAACATTTCTAAATGATAATATTATCTTTAGAAAATATAGAGGTTAGTTTTAATGATGAAATTTAATTCTAGAAAGTTAATATTAAACATCATAAGTTCTCATTTTGGAGAACTTCTAAATTATTTTATAATTCTTAGTTACAAGAAAAAAATCACGGCCAGAACAATAGTACAGCTGGTTGGGCATCTGCATTGCACTCAGCCAGCCTGGATTTGATCCCTGGCACCCCAAATGGTCCATGAGTCCACCAGGAGTGATTCCTGAGCAGAGAGCCAGGAGTAAGCAATGAACGATCTCAATGAATGTGCTCAAAGAGTGAGTACCACTGAGTGTATCCCAGAACAGACAAACAAAAAAAGTACAAAAAAGAAGAAGAAAAAAAAATCACTACATAGGGAAACTCAAAATAATCATAAACTTAACAGCTTGGTATTAATCTCAGTCACAAGTATATAGAAGTACTGAAATTTAAAAATGAGCCAAATTTCATGTTACCTTGGGATATAATGATGATAAATATTATGTCTAACACTACATTGATTAGAGTTAAATTTTATTCATGACTATTAGTTTGCTTATATTGCTTTAGCAGAGTTAACACAGACTGAAAGTTCATATAACAGAAAAATTATTTCCTGACAATTCTGGAGGGTGGGAGTCCAAGTGCAAAGTGACAGTGAATTTGATTTCTGTGAAGCTTCTCTTCTTTGCTTGCAGATGGCATGTTCTCCCAATGTCCTCACATTGCCTTTCCTCTATGCACAAGCATCTCTAAGATCTTCTGAATGACAACTGTCATGTGGGTTAAGGATCCCACTCTTGTAACCTCATTTAACCATATTTTCTTCCTGAAATGCCTTATCCAAATAAATGCCTTATCCAAATAAAGTCGCATAGGACACTTGGAGGTTCAACAAATAAATTGGAGAGGGAAATAACTCAGTACAGAACACTGACATGTTTAATGTATTGCCCAAAGAAGTAGAAATCAGATGGTATCTGAGTAGTACATTAAACTTCTAGTTGATGCTAGAAGAACAATGGCATTTTTTCAGTACATATGGTTAAAAAATAACAACAACAACAAAACAAAAATTATGGCAGGGAATTAGCATATTTATTTTATTTTATTTATGTAGGTCCACGGTCCACGGTCCTCCCATTGTTCATCGATTTGCTTGAGGGGACCCAGTAACGTCTCCATTGTGAGACTTGTTAATGTGTTTGGCATATCGAATACGTCACGGGTAGCTTGCCAGGCTCTGCCATGCGGGCGAGATACTCTCGGTAGCTTGCCGGGCTCTCCAAGAGGGGCTATTTATTCAGCCACTGATTAGCTGATTGAATTGGGCATGAACTCCACTTTACTTTTTCATAGTTTTATTTATTTATTTATTTATTTATTTATTTTTCTTCTTATATTTATTTGGGGCCCCTTGGAGGGGAGCCGGTTGAGCTTTCCTCCCCGCCCTGACTAGGGACCCGGCAGCCGAAGACCTCCAGGAGCAGCCACCACCATGCCGAGACCACTCTCCGCACACCTGAAGGTACCAGCAGAGGAACAAAGGCAAGCGGGTCCCGGGGCTAAGATCTCCAAGCCTACTCAGATCGGGGCTGAGCATCCTCCACCCAGATCCTCCGAATTCCAGTAGGCAGGGGTCACACCCACCAACTGGCCCCCTGGCGCCGTGTAATCCCATCAACGGCCAAGACTCAGAGACTATAAAAACCAGTTCCCGGAACATTTTATTATGACATCTTATTATCTCATTTCTACTTTGGACAAACTGGCAGGCTACCGAATGTAACCTGCCCACACGGCAGAGTCTGGCAAACTCCCTGTGGCGTACCCAATATGCCAAATGCCAGTAACAATGATGGGTCTCATTCTCCTAAAGAGCCTTGAATATAGCATTTTCTTAAAAATCTCAGGGCTAGGATGAAGGAGATGTTACTGGGGCCTGCTGGAGGCAATCGACGAATAACAGAATGGTCGTGATTCGTGATATTTATTTATTGAGTCACTATGGGAGAAGTTACTAAGCTTTCAGGTTTAAGTCTCAGTCATACAATGATCAAACACCTCTCCCTTCACCAGAACTCATTTTTCCCCACCAAGAACCCCAATATACCCCCCACCCCTCCGAATGCCTTCGAGGCAGATAATTTCCACTTAACTCTTCTCTACATTGATCACATTCATCACTTCGACAAAAGAGCATCTTTATTTTAAAATAAACTTTAATGAATGTGTTTAAGGTCGAGCACGTAGAGAATGGAGGAAGAGTAAAGAACCATTCCTAGTTCTTAGAAGAGCAAAAGTGAGGGCTTGAGGCTACGTCCTAGAACAGTGAGCAGTCAGTAAAGAAGTATGATCTTCCAAGATAATGAAATTGGATGATTTCTAAATCCTTCCATAAAGTGTAATTGTTATAGGCTTTCTAGAAAAGGGGCACTTTGCGTGGACAGGAAGACTAAAAGAAATAGTTGCTATTCAACAATAGATGTAACTACTGTTGAGTGTATATCAGGAGAAATGACTAGAATTTCCTAGTCATTCCAACTCCACTGCTAGTGCTCAGGACCAGTTATAGATTAAGGTTTTGTTTTTCTCTTTAAGAAATGCCCCAGGTACCCATAATCACAACCACCAAGGCCCTGTCCACGGTTCAGCAACATTCAAAATATCTTAGAAGGGAAAGCTTACCAGAAATTAAATAAATAAAATTTGAAAAAATCCTTTTATACTCCTCCCTGGAGCTAGGAATGGGTTTGATCTTTCTTTTACATTACTTGGAAGTCCCTAAAGTGCCTAGCCTCAAAATGAAACAAAATTTCCTTTATGAAGACTTATGGCTTGCAATGTGCCTGCAGTCTATCTGGAAGTTTGACCTGGCAGGCATTCTACACAGTGGGCAAAGAAGAATGATCAGTTCAATGCCATGCTCTGCCAGAAGCTCATGAAAGGAAAGCAGGTACAAGGTATAAAAATTTGTCCTATTTTCTTGATTCACAGACATTAAAGATAGGGTTGCAGGGACCAGAGAGATAGTATAGTGGGCAGGACACTTGCCTTACATTAGGCCTACCCAGTTTTGATCCAAGGCATCCCACGTAATCCTCTGAGCTCTCCAGAAGTGATTCCTGAGTACAGAGGAAGGAGAAAACTCTGAGCACTGCCACTCATGGTCCACAAACCATATATATATACTTTTTATATATTTAAACAATGGTGTGTATGTACATACATACAACTGTATATAAAAATATGTTGTACAGTATTATATAGTCTTGGCCTCTTAACAATGAATGCTTAGTCTTCTTGAGAGTTCTTCCTGTTCTTAGTACGCACAGTTTGGGGAGCCTTTTGGAGTTATTATGGAGAAATAACTTCATTTATTAAATAAATTTATTTATTAAAATAAATCCAATAGGTATAATAAGTATCCAGTCAAATTCAGGTATTTATTGCACTAAATTATTCCCAATTGGTATGTTAGCCTCCTAAGGGTTAGTGTGTTAGTATTTTTAAGAGTTAAGTATAATTCTCAATTAATTATATTTTCATTATGTCACTATTAATTTTTTCCTATTGAACAAAGTGTTCCTTTAAACTTAGAAAAGAAGAAAAAATAATGGATATACGCATACATATATTCTCTTTTTAGTGAGATTTGTATTTCTTTTATATAATGTTAAAGATCTCAAAGTCCTATTCACTCATATACAGATGGCCTCAGAGAATTAAATATTCGCAGCATGAATTATGTATAACGAGTTCACATTTCTCATGTACATCTAAAACCATACTACTTATATCAGCACTTGAGACTTGAGAAAACTCAAGACATTTTCTTCCTCTACAGACCTTAAAAGCTTCTAATTCCGTAAGTTCTTCCTACTGTATGAAGTTCGTGGTGCCTTTCTGCAGTAAAATTGCTTACAATACAAAAATAAAAGTAGCAAAAGATTTAATATTATTTAAAGCCATTTGGCCCTACGGTTCGGCACTATGGCTAGGAAAATGTGTTTCATTTAAACACACTTCAGGGAATGAAAGTTTGGCGGATCTCTAAATTTACCACTTAGGGATCAAGAAAAAAAAATCTAACAATTTTAATCCAAACGCTGGTTAGAGACCACGTGGGCAAATATACATCTCACTAGACCAGGAGGAGGGATCCTCGTGGCTAAAATCCCCCCAAATCTTACAAAATTTCTCACGCAGGAGTAAGAAAGAGTAGGGTCCCACGGGAAAATCTGGTTTCTGGTGGCCCCTTGAAAACGAAGGGGTGGCCCGGTAGATTTCGCAGAAGGGCCAACGCGAGGGTGCCCGCAACCCCGGAGGCTCCGCTGCAGTTCCCGGGAGCCGGAGCCCGGCGCGGCGGGGCGGCGCGGCCAGGGGGCGGCGCTCGCGGGCGCGGGGCCTCGGGGGCGGCCTCAGCCCCGCCCCGCCCCGCCCCGCCCCGTCCCGCCCGTCTGGTCCGGTCCGTTCCCTCCCGCCGCCGCGTCCCGGCCGCGCTGCCCGCACACCCTCCGGCGCCGCTGCAGCCATGGCTCAGCCCTTCTCCCTGGCCGCCTGCGATGTGGTGGGCTTCGACCTGGACCACACGCTGTGTCGCTACAACCTGCCCGAGAGCGCCCCGGTGAGTGGCGCGCGGCGTGCCGCCTCGGCGCATGGCGGCGGGGCTCCCTGGGCTTCCTGCGGCCGCGCCCCGCCTGCGCGCACGGCTCGCGGAAGTGTGCAGCCCCCCACCCCCACCCCGCTCCCCACCCGGGCCTCGGGGAACCGGCCCAGTGAGGCCAGACAAGTTTGAGAGCAAAACAAAACAAAAACAAAAACAAAAACTCAGCAAAGCGGGGGCGAAGGAGGGATGAACCGTGCAAGATCGAGGTGGGGTTTCACCGTATCTAGGGCATAGAGGCAGGACCGGGTTGGGGGGAGGGGGGAACCGGGGGCGACCGTGTCCTTCTGCAGATCGTGGCCTTGGAACTTCGCTGGAAGTCGTTCCGAACCTCAGCCGCGCGCCTCTCGGCCCTCTCTGCTGGGATGTGCGTTGTGGGTGTTTTTTCCTTCGCTGCAGTTTTCCTTTAGCGCGTGCGTGCGAACACCCACCCGGGCGCGTTTTAACAATGCGGTCCCGGGGAGAAATTGGGTGGTGTTTCCGCAAGGAGCCGAAACGTTTAAAAAGATCCAGGGTTAGCCTTTTACTAAGTGGAGCTGGAGTGTATGCCTGCGGCGCACCTACTCAATGCCGATTGCACCTGGAATCAGCCCTGGATTGACAGCCGCGGCCCGCGAAGTTTGTGTCCTTGCCGCGCCAAATTTGAAAAGTGGGAGGCACGGAACAGTGATTCCACACCGGCCTTCCCTGCGCCCTCCCCCCCCCACCCCCCAGCAAGTCAGCTGTACTTTTCTCACCCGTGCCCTTGGTTTCACAGCCAGCCATAGGAATTTTAGTCTTTTAGTCAAAGGATTATAAGCAGAAAAAACTGCCTTGGAAACAGTGGCCAAAGCGAGGGGTCCACAGCCAAACTCTCAATGTCCCTCCTTGGCTGTCCATCTCTGTGGCTTTGGACACATCCCTCGCCTGTGCCTAGTCTCAAAACAGACCCTGGATTCTCTATGCATGAAAGAGTGTGTGTGTGTGTGTGTGTGTGTGTGTGTGTGTGTGTAGGGGGGAGGGTACTATTCCTGTGTCCCTGCTATTTAACCCTTTTGCTGTACTTGCTTCCTTGTCATTCAGAGTTCAGAAGACTTTTCTTCTTAATACTTTGGTCACCAGGGCCACACACCACAAGGCAAGTAAGTGCTCTACTTACTGCCCATCTACATCCCTGGTCCTCAAAGCCAGTTTTGTGTTTGTTTATGCCTCAGTTCAGAGCATGAGTATCCAGATGACCAGGATCCTTTACTGCAGCCTCAAATATATGTGATGTCTTAGAGTTTGAAAACAGTAAGCAAGTGCGGTTTGGATCCTCTTTGGTTCAGAAATCTTTTCCCAAGCACCAGAAGTGTGCTGAGCCCCTAAGAGAGTTGTGGATACTGAAATAATACTCAGATCTTCCAGTGACCTTGTAATGCATGCCCCAAGGTGCTGGAAAGTTAGTCCAGTGCCCTGAGGAGAGTGCAGGTGCTTAGCTATTCTCTGTCACAATAACTCCTCATCTTTCAGTTCTCTTCTTCCCAAGAATTTCCTTGGAAAGCTGTTCCCCGTGCCCTGAATTTTTTGTTTCTGCCCTTTACCCACTTCCAGTGTGCCTTAAAACCCTTAATTTTTTTTTATAGCATGGTATAAGAATGGTATTAGAATGGTATTAGAATTTTCTTTTATTGGAGAATTTCCTTCAGCCAAAAGCTATGATTGTTTAACATCTTATCTCCAACACTTGATGGTCCGGTCTGTGTGCTGAGCTGAATCCCTCAGTATGTGCCGGCTTCGGTAAATAATTGTGGTATGCCTAAATCAATAATAGGTGTTTTGATAACTGAATGCGGCACTCAGGGCCACCAGTCTAATAAGCATTTTCTTGTATAAATTGCTTTGATCGATCCAGCAACCTTAGGAGGTATGTGCTATTCTCACAATTGCAGTGCAGCAATATTGACACTCAGGTACAAAAATGATTGTTTGCCCAAGGTCACTGTATACGCAGTGCTATGTAGGTGGGTTTCACACCCCTTTCCCACATCTCCTCTACTATGCCCAGGGAGAGGCTGGGAGTGCAGGACACTTGAGCTAAGTTCCAGAGTAGGAATTCCATCTGGCAGCTGAGGAGACCGAGAGACCCGTTGGATGTACAAGAGCTGTAACCAAGGCTGGGACCTTGAGATGAGCAATAGCACAGGGCACTGCTGGGTGTTCAGCAGATGAAGAGCTGCAGGAGAAGCACTGGTGCCTGCATAGTGACTCCGAGTGTGTCTTCTATACTCAATGCACAAAACTGATACCTGAGTATACTTAATAGGTATGTTCAGTTTTGTGCACACATGAGTAAGGGTTCTCCGCTTCTGTGGGTTCAGGAAGGACATCTTCCAAGCAATGACCACGGCCCTCTTCTAGGGCTGCAGACGCAAAACTGGGCTTGCAGAAATCTCTGACACCAGGCAGTTAACTTCCCAATGCAAGTAGGCTGTGGCGCCTTGGCTGCTGGGAGAATGTGATTCTTCTGAAGTTCCTGGCATGCTCAGGTCCCACCAGAGCTTGCCCAAGGCAGACTGAGGCTCAGTCTTGCTGGATGGACACTGGTAAGAAACACCTGTGGGACATTTCTCTCAGTTTTTATAAGTCAGTTCATTTCCCAACACAAGAGGATTGTAGGGTTGCCCAGTTTTAGCAAGGAAAACTACAGAGCACCTAGTTATATTTAAACTTCAAATAACAAAAGTAGTTTTGATGTGTTATGTCCCAAACAGGGCTTGGGATTTACTTACACCCAAAAGGGTTGTTCTTTATCTGGAAGTAGAGTTTAGCTAGATATTATTTCTATTTTTTTCTGAAGTGGGAGGCAAACCTAATTTCTGCTTTCCCTGTGGACTACAGAGCACTTATTTGCAAACACTTTGGGGTGCATTTTGATCAGCTGTGTTAGACTGAGGAAGTCACTGGCAGCAAAGGCTGAGAGAAGAAGGAGGCTGAGCACGGAGGCCCTGTACTGAGACAACTTCTGAGGTGATTCAACATGATCTCAGGAAAAGCACTGGGAACTGAGGCCTTAGGACTAGAGCAGGAGTTTCAGAAGCATCGGCTTCCCTGCTCAGTCTCTGTGCCCTGTCGTCTTTGCTGTTTGCTCAATGACCCCATCCTCTCCTGTTATAGAAACCTCTCCTGTAGGTAAGGAACACTGCAGTGCTGGCTGTCTCTCTTGGCAGGCTCCTTTCTTTTCTGGAAGGGAAATTACCTCAGTGAAATCACTTTGCCAAGCGGGGCATGATCCTCACAGTTCTGGACTGTGTGAACTCTGCCTGGCCCAGAGGTAGTTTCATGGGATATAATAACCATTGATGTTTGAAACTGGGCTGGAGTGATAGCACAGCGGTAGGGCGTTTGCCTTGTACGCAGCCAACATGGCCGACCCGAGTTCGATTCCTCTGCCCCTCTCAGAGAGCCCGGCAAGCTACTGAGAGTATCTCGCCCGCACGGCAGAACCTGGCAAGCTACCCGTGATGTATTCGATATGCCAAACACAGTAACAACAAAGTCTCCAATGGAGACGTTACTGGGCCCGCTCGAGCAAATCGATGAACAACAGGAGGACAGTGACAGTGACAGTTTGAAACTGATCATTCAGGATTTCTTTATACCTCAAAAATGCTTTTCCTTTTTTGAAGTCACACAGTTGATGATGATAGCAAGTGGTGCTTAAATTGACTTTACTTCTACGCCAGGCTTGGCTCTAAATTCTTTTTTTTTTTTTTTTTGCTTTTTGGGTCACACCCGGCGATGCACATGGCTTACTCCTGGCTCTGCACTCAGGAATTACCCCTGAGGTTGCTTAGGGGACCATATGGGATGCTGGGAATCGAACCCGGGTTGGCTGCGTGCAAGGCAAACGCCCTACCTGCTGCGCTATTGCTCCAGCTCCTCAGCTCTAAATTCTTTAGATCTGTTTTTCCCAGTCTACTGGTTCCTTTGAGGCAAGACAATGTTGTGTATTTTTTATTGTCCATAGTTCCTGGTATCTGAATGACTTTATACATTTTTAATTCAATTTTGTTTTTTTTAAATGATGAAATATAGGTCAGTGGTTTTCAGTCAATACTGTGCTTTGTAGTTGCCTGATCTAAGCCCCATCCTGTCTTCTAGGCTTGAAATTTCCAGATGGTTCTGAAGCACCACCAGGTTTTAAAAATTGTTGATAATGTATAGTGTTATGTAATGTATATCCATAATTAATGACCTCACATCACATTGCAAGAAAGTATGTGAATAATGGTTTTATTTAGCTTTATGACTGGGAGCATCACTGAGTGACAAGGCCACTTTGCTTTCTTGCACAGTCACCTCCAGACACTCACACCCAAACCCACAATGACAGCCTTGTGCAGGCCGCTGGGTTTTTAGATCTAGGTTGCCTCTCCCTTCTCTTCACCCACTTCACTGCTGCACCTTTCAGTTTCCATGTAAACCTCACAGAAGACCTTGGGGATCTCCTCCGATGCATTTGCTATGTCTCTGCCTGTCATGGGTTAACATCTGTAAAGGGTTCGGTTGCGCATGGAATTCTCTTGGATATGCTCAGACCATTGTTCTGCTTCAAGGTTAAGTGCTACTGAGACCAGCCTCACAACACTCCCCTGCAGAACAATGGGTAGGAGCAATAATGGCCTTCATCTTTTGATTAACGGCATGTTTAGTATGTAGCTTTGTTTCAGGACTGGACTACAGTGCCTGAAGGAGTAGCTCAATGACTTAGAAGTCCTGCCATGCAAGCTTTGGGCCACAGCTTCAGTCCCTGGTACCACCCGCTGCACCAGGAGGGAGTGCAGCGGCCTGGCTGTGTAGTTTGGTCGTCCTGCTCTCCGACAACCAAGAGAAGTCCCTTGCTGCTTTGCAGCTCAGTGTGTGTGTGTGTGTGTGTGTGTGTGTGTGCATGTACAAGCTTGCCAACAAGGGTGTGACCTGAGACAAGCAGTGCTACTAAAGAAAAGATGTTCCCTAGCAGGACCAGGAAGTGTGGCTCCCGGTGAGCATGTGAATAAATAGCAAATACCACAACTGAAAAGGAGCGGTCCTTAAGGAAGCCCTGGCTGAGCACTGCAGCCCACATGGGGCACCACTGCCACGCATGTGTGTGACCCCAGATCTCTGCAATAGCTGCAGCAAGATGAGCAAAGGGCCAGGATCTGGGGATTAAAAAAATACTACTAATAAAAATGAAACAAATAAACAAAACTACCAAACAGCTGTGTCGGCTCTTCACAAAATAGATCTCTCCTTAAAGCATCAGGATTCTCTGGTCATTGAGGTATCAGATCAGTCATTTATCAGCAGATTCTTTATATTCTTTGTTCTTGGTTTTTCTTATGGCAGTAAAATAGGATATTTCTGTGTCTGGAACTATGGAAGCGCCATGATTTCTCCTTTAGATGAACTACCTGGTCCCCATGTTGATTTCCTTTTAAGGTTCTCTTGATGACTAACTTTTTTTTTCTTCTTCCCTTTATTTGCAGCTCATTTATAATAGCTTTGCTCAGTTCTTAGTCAAGGAGAAAGGATATGACAAGGAACTGCTCACTGTCACTCCAGAGGATTGGGATTTCTGGTAGGTTTAACTTCTTTCTGATTCTTAATTGTTGTTGATAATATATTAATACTTCCTCTTCTATAGAGGCAGCACAGAAATGTGAAGTTGAACGAAAGGACAAAATGCTTTTTTTTTTTTTAATGAATTAAAGTTCTGTATGGTTTAAGCTTTGACTTACTTGATTAAATTCTGAAATAAATCGAAGACATTTGCAACCAGTATGAATATTGTTGGGCTGTAGTGATAGCACAGTAGGTAGGGCGTTTGCCTTATACACAGCCAACATGGCTGGCCCGAGTTCGATCCCTCCACCCCTCTCGGAGAGCCTGGCAAGCTACCGAGAGTATCTCGCCCACATGGCAAAGCCTGGCAAGCTTCCCATGGCATATCCGATATGCCAAACACAGTAACAAGTCTCAAAATGGAAACGTTGCTGGGCCCGCTCGAGAAAATCGATGAACAACGGGAGGACAGTGACAGTGACAGTGATGAATATTGTTAGTGTGGTTTAAGTTTGTGCTTATTAAGAGTTACAAAGGTCATTAAGAACTGTTTCTAATGTTAACATCTTTTTTTTTTAAGTTTGCTTTATTGCCTTTTAAACAAAGAGCTGGAAGAGAAGAGGGGGGATGTGTTTAGATGTAGATGAACTCTTGGTTTCCTTCATTTGGATAGGCCGTTCTCCACCTGAGCTGCTTAGGGCTACTCTTCCTGAGTTAAGATTCTCAAGTGCCCAAGGCATCCTTTCTCTTTCTCCTCATACACACCAAAAACATAAAAACCCCAAAAACAAACACCAAAAACAAATAAAAATTCATTTAGTCACTTCTCTGGGGGGTTGGGAGGGTACACCTGATGATATTCAGGTGTTACTCCTGGCTCTGCACTTAGGAATTACTCCTGATAATTTTAGGGCACCAAATGGGTTGCCAGAAATCGAACCTGCGTCTACTGCATGTAAGGCAAGCGATCTACCCACTATACTGTTTCTCTGGTTCTTTAGTGAGCCACTTGAAAGTGTTCAGTTGACAATATTGATCCTAAAACATGTGAAAAGTATACGTAAATCTAGAGCAGTGATTTTTTTCCTCTCATAGATTTCTCCGTTTGGTTCATCCTTTTTGATTTAGTCATTTTGTAAAAAGAAGGAGCAGAAACATTTAAGCTATGAAAGTTCTCACTGGAATTTTTACTGTGGACCAAAGACTATAATGCTTCTAAAGTGCCCTCCAGTTTTTTGCTTAATTTTTTTGGTATTTGGTGACTGTTACATCGCCTTGCTTTTTTATTCATGATATTGAATCTATACCCACTTTTCTCCCCAAATCCCACAACTCTTACTACAAAGAGCCTAAACCTCGGTATTTGACTTTCTTTTAGTGATTTTTCAATAAATATGCCATACCCACAAGGCAATTTCTTATTCTCTCATCAAAATCAAGACACAGTCTAAAGAATGTAGGAGAAACAATGGTTAAGAACTTAGCTTGTAGAATATAAATACGTGTGTGTGTGTGTGTGTGTGTGTGTGTGTGTGTGTGTTTTATTTGATGGCAAGCGTTTGCTTATTTTAACAGAGACTTGTAGTGATTTTCATTTTCTTGTTCTCGGTGAGTTTGAAATTTCTTTTTTTAAACACTGGAGGATTTTACAAACCTAACAGGCTGTTCATTTGCCCACATAACAGTTTTCCTAATATTTTTGCTCTGTGAATATTTAATTTTAGAATTCCTAGATATTCTTATTCATTTGATCAGCATATGAATGGGGGGGTCTATTGTTAGCATTGTGACTTTTTCAAAATACGCATTATTTTCTGTTGCTTAGCTGCCTATGTGAACTGATCGGTATACAAACTTCTTTTCCAGTTGCAAGGGCTTGGCTTTGGACCTGGAAGATGGGAGCTTCATTAAACTTGCAGAAAATGGTACCGTGCTCAGGTAATAACACTTAGACATAAAGTTAAAACTTAGGCTTATACATATTTTAAATATTTTATTAGAGAACCACATTTATAAAGTTATTCATGGTTGGGTTTTAGGCATATAATGTTGTAACATCATCTCCCTTATCAGCTTGCCACCTTCATATTCACATTTTAAAATTTGGTTATTGTAGCATTCACTATTAGTAGTACACTTCCAGTGTCCTAAAAGTGTTTTCTTTGTACTTCTCATTTACCTCTCTCCCTGTGTCACAATAACCAATCTCTTGCCTGTCTCTAGTTTCTTGCCAAAGTGTCATAGTTAAAATCAGACAGCAGACAGTTACTTCAGATCGACTGTGTTTATTATGGATTTAATGCTCTTCCATGTGTTTTTATGACTAGCTACTTCTTTCCCCCCTGCCCCCTCCACTGAATAACATTCCATTGTTTGGGTGGACTAAAGTTTGTCTGTTAATCTACCAAAGATATTTTTGTTTTCTTCCAAGGTTATCCCTTATATATATTCTCTCTTTTGATAATTATTCTCCTTTTGCATGGGACAAACTCACTCTCCAGATCTCTTAAGGTGCCGCCAACTAGAACAGGATTGACCCTACTACTGATAATTACTCATTTGTATGTTTTTGGTAGGGAGCATAAAAAGTGCTGCTCAGGGATGTGGGGGCTACTGCTGGTGATACTTAGCTAACTGGGCCTGTGGTTCAGTGTTAAACCCAAGTACATGGTGTGGCTCAGGCACTGAGGTGCTGTGGACCAGTAGAGCCACGTGATGTGAATGATGCTTGGAGGCCTCTGCTGCCACGCCAATTTATGCTTAAGAAGCCTTGTGGTGCTGGGGATGGAATGCAGGTCATTTGTATCACAGTACTATCTCCTTGGCCCCTTTACTTACATGTTCTTTTTCCTCCTGAGAAACACAAGTAGATGTATGTCTTTATGTATAAATGCAGAATGCAGGTTTTTTTTTTCAATTTTTATACATTTTATTTTCATAAAGTAGTTCACAATGGGCTGGAACGATAGCACAGTGTGTAGGGCGTTTGCCTTGCATGCAGCCAACTTGGCCGACCCGAGTTGGATTCCTCCGTCCACCGAGAATATCTCCTCTGCACGCAATGCCTGGCAAGCTCCCCATGATATATTCAATATGCCAAACACAGTAACAACAAAGTCTCCAATGGAGACGTTACTGGGCCCGCTCGAGCAAATCGATGAACAACGGGAGGACAGTGACAGTGACAGTTCACAATGGTTCATTACAGATAATATTCAAACACCCATCCCACCAGCGAGCATCTTCCCACCAGAATAAGAGGGAAGTGTGTGAAGGTTGTTGTATTTCATTCTGGAGCCATTTAAGCCCATATATAAGAGAATGCAAGCAAGTATGTTAAACCCAAACAAATGTGTGCTACTTTAGGTACATCAGTGGGCCAGAGTATAAGAGGTGGTGCGACCACACTTGTGGCCATGCATTCTGGGAAATACTGCATTGCTCTCTTCTGGGAGTTTTATTTTATAATCTCTGGATCTTGGCCGTTGATTAGATTACATGGTGCCAGGGGCAGTTTGTGTGTGTGACTGCCAAGCTACTGGAAAACTGGGGAGCTGGGTGGAGGAGACCCAGTCCTGATCCGAGCAGGCTTGGAGATCTCAGCCACGGGTCCCGCATACCTGGGTTCCTCTGTTGGCTCCCTCATGGGTAAGGCTCGTCTGAGTGTGTGGAGAGTGGCTTTGAGCATGGCTGTGGCTGGGTTATGGAAGTTTTTGGCTGCCGGAGTTCTGCTTGGGTTGGGGAGGGAAACTCAACTGCTCCCCTCTGAGGTGCCCTGGTGAAGACAGCCTGGCACAGGGTCAGGAGGTTCTGCCTTCAGAATGCAGCTTTGATGATAACCTTTTAATATACTGTGACATTTTAATAATGGATTTAGTCATCTTCTGTCACGTGGAACATTCCACAGTATTGTTTTCTCTATTGTTATGTCTCTCAGGCCCCATTCCTATTGCTCTTCTCCACAGTCTGACCCCTCTTCCATCCAAGTTCTTTGCTAATTTGCATTATTTTTGGTATTTTTTATTATTTTCTGATGCCTGATTGTATCCACTGTGTGATTCCTTATTGATATTTCTCACTCGGGATTCTCCCATCTTTACATAGAGCATTTCAGCATGTTCATCTCTATATAAAAAGGAGCACAAGTGTGATTTGACTCTCACTTGCCCTCTTCTTTGATCTTTTCCTTTTTCATTCTGCTTTGCCACTGTGATATAACAAAAAAAAAGGAGGATGGTGAATTATAATTCCTTAATAAACTACATAATGTAAGTTGGTTGTCAGTGGGGTAAAATATATCTGTTTGAATTCATGTTCTTGTGTTTTTCAAGGACCTACACAGAAGGGGAATGACAGAATCATAGAATTTCCAGTTATATTTATTTCTTTTGCTCTTTGGGCTACACCTAGCAGTGCTTAGGGCTGACTCGCTGACTCCTGTCTTTGTGCTCAGAGATCACTCATTTATTTATTTTTGCTTTTTGGGTCACACCCAGCGATGTCAGGGATTATTCCTGGCTTTGCACTCAGGAATTGCTCCTATCGTGGCTCAGGGGACCACATGGATTGCTGGGAATTGCTCCTGTGGTGGCTCAGGGGACCATATGGGATGCTAGGAATTGAACCCGGGTCGACTGCGTGCAAGGCAAATTTCCTATCTGCTGTGCTATCGCTCCAACCTCCACAGGGATCACTCTTAGTCCGCTCGATGACTGTAAAAGTTGCTGGGGATGGTTGGCTATATGCAAGGCAAACACCCTCCCTGCTGTGTGATTGCTCCGGTCCCTTGGAATTCTAATTTTAAAGTTTTGAGCAATCTGCTTCTTTTCCCAATGACTTCATTGATTGACATTCCCACCCACAGGGTTCCCTTCTTTCTACAGCCTTTGCAACATTTGTTGTTTTCATCTTTTAGATAACAGCCATTTTCATAAGTATAAGGTGATGCTATTGTTTGAATTTGCATTTCCCTGGTAATAGGTGGTGCTGAGCTTGTTTTCATGTGCTTCTTGGCCATATATGTGCCTTCTTTGGAGAGGCATCAATTTCTTCTATTTTTGAATTTACTTTTTATTGTTAAATTTTGTGACTTCTCCATATGTTCTAGATATTAACCCCTTGTTGGGCAGATGGTATTCATGAATTTTCTCCTGTGAGTAAGATTTTTGGTTTTTTTTTTCTTTTTTTTTTTTACTGATAGTTTTATTTTACTGATAGTTTCTTTCACTGGCAGACTCTTTGAGTTGATGTAGCCCTGTTTTACTTTTTGCTTTTGTTTCCCTTGCCATAGGAGTGACTCTCCGACCATATCTCTATTACTGATGCCTGTGTTTTCTTGTATGTATTTTATGATTTGGGGTAATAGCAGCCTGTTAAGCCCAGAAAATAGCTTGTATTTTTTGTATTGCTATTCTGTGTTTTGCAACCTTTGTCTTGCTATTACTCATTGTGTATTTAACCATGTTGTCCTTAGGTGGGTACGTGGCTTCCCTGTCTTACGTCTCTTGCTGCCCCATTTCCTGGCTTCTAAATACCCCTCCACCCACAGGAATTTACCCCTCCTGTGGACCAGGAACATCTCTCTTTTCAACTCTACTGCTCTTTTTTCTCCCTCCTCTTTCTTTGGTAATGGCCAGATCACTTTTCCACCCAGTCCACATTATTTTATTCCAATTTTCCAGAGACCCTGGACCATAGGGCAGTCATCGTGGCATGTCTTGCTTCCATTGAGATATCTTCCAGGCCCTTTCTCGCCAGAAGAATAGCTGTGCCATTAGGATCATAGGTCCAAAGCAAGTACCACAATGTAGACCTTAGTGTGACCTGCTCCTAGTCAGTTATTCATAGTCAGTGAGCTGGAGGTAGAGCTAGAGCCACCTGAGGAACACCTCATAACATTCTAATTAAGGAATTCACCCATTGAAAACAAAAAAAATACAGAACATAAAACTTGGTTAGGTATAGCAGGACCACCAGTAGCACTGCCAGAGAAAGAGACATTCAGAGGAGTCACTGATGACTGAGTGTCCTTTCTCTTCAAACAGGGCAAGCAATGGCACAAAAATGATGACTGCAGAGTCCCTGGCAAAAGAATATGGCAAGAAGGAGTGGAAGCACTTCATGTCAGACACAGAGATGGCATGCCGCTCAGGTAAGTCTCGCACAGGGCAGTGGTGACTTCCTTAGTTTTGGTCCCTTTACCTGGAGCCTAAGGAAGATTCTTTTTCTCCTACAGGGCAGGGTGCACCAGGGAGCAGCTGCTATTTTCCCTTTCTATCTGATTTCTCCCGATACTTTGCTGTGTTTTATTGATTGTTTCGTTGATTGACTTTTTAACATGCATTTGCTCTTGAATCAAGAATATTAGATGTAAAACATTTCTTACTTCAAAAGTTTTCTTACTTACTAAAATCTTTGATTTTAGTATGTGAAGTCTTACATGCTCCTTTGTGGTTGTATGTGCTCATTCTTTAATTTTATTTCTCCGCCCCTTTTTTCTCCCAGGTTTCATGTCACGGTCCTCTTCTGTTTTTTAGAATTATCTGTCTTTTCTTGTTTTGGATTTTGGGCCACATCAAGCAGAGCTCAGGGCTTACCCCTGGTTCTGCAGTCAGAAATTACTCCTCCCAGTGTTCAGGGGACCATGTAGAATATCCAGTGTTGAACCTGGATTAGCTGCTTGCAAGGCAAGCACCTTACCTGCTGTACTATCGCTCTGACCTAGGATTGTCTTCCTTTCTGCCATTTCTAGAATCTTCTGTTTTGTCTCTTTAAATGCTCATACACATTTTTCCACTGTCTCTAATATGAAAAGATGTTTTTCAAAAATTATTTAAATATGGAGGGATGGGTGTTTGATCATTGTATAACTGAAACCCAAGCACAAAAATTTGTGAATCTGCAACTGTACCTAATGGTGTTTCACTAATAAAAATCTAAATAAAAAAAATAATACCTAAAAGTAAGAGAGAGTATCGGGAAAATTGTCTGCCACAGAGGCAGGGTGAGGACTGGGATTGGTGGGGGGGGGGGCAGGGGGGCAAATAATGGGGACATTGGTGGTGGAAAATTTGCACTGGTGGAGGGATGGGTCTTTGATCATTGTATGGCTGAATCTCAAACATAAAAACTTTGTAACTATCTCATGATGATTCAATAAAAAATTTAAAAAAATAAAAGTGGAAAATTAAAATAAAAAATTTATTTAAATATATATTAGAAGGTAGAGATGTAGCTCAGTGGTAGAACTCTTGCCTTGTATGCCTGAGACCCATGGTTCAGTCCCTGGTACCAAAAACAAAACAAGACAAATTGTGTACATATAGTAGGAGACTTGAACACTCCCTTTTTCTTCTTCTTTTTTTAATCATAATTATCAAGCTATAAGCTACCATAACAAGAAGATATTTTTATAGTGCCTCAATGGTGATGATGCCAGTAATTCATTAAAAACAGTTATATTGGGGCTGAAGAGCTAGTACAGCAGGTAGGGTGCTTTACTTGTATGCAACTGACACTGCTTCAATCCTTGGAATCCCATATGGCCTCTGAACACCCCAGGAGTAAAAATTTCTGAACTAGGAGTAACCCCTGAACACACTGCTGGGTGTGTCCCTAAAAATAAAGTAAGTAAAAGTAAAGGCCCTCCCGTTGATCATCGATTTGCTCGAGTGGGACCAGTAACGTCTCCACTGGAGACTTTGTTGTACTGTGTTTGGCATATCGAATATGTCATGGGGAGCTTGCTAGGCTCTGCCGTGCAGGCGAGATACTCTTGGTAGCTTGCCAGGATCTCTGAGAGGGGCGGAGGAATCGAACTTGGGTTGGCCATGTTGGCTGCGTGCAAGGCAAACACCCTACTGCTGTGCTATTGCTCCAGAGCCTAGAAATAAATTTTTTAAATGATGAGAATGTCACAGGGACTTCCCTAACGATGTTCACTAGTGACTCCCTCTATAGACTTCTTTCCAACCCTTACCTCTATCAGGGAAAGAACTAAGAAAGGATAGTCAAAGCCCTTTGGGCCTATTAATTATGAAGAAAAATAAGAAAGGAACTCACACTTCCTAAAACTCAAGTTTTACATTTGTCTGGGCTGGAGCGATAGCACAGCGGTAGTGCGTTTGCCTTACAAGCGGCCAACATGGCCAACCCGAGTTCGATTCCTCCGTCCCTCTCGGAGAGCCCGGCAAGCTACTGAGAGTATCTCGCCCACACGGCAGAGCCTGGCAAGCTACCCGTGATGTATTCAATATGCCAAACACAGTAACAACAAAGTCTCCAATAGAGACATTACTGGGCCCGCTTGAGCCCTAAAAATAATGGTTCTATAAATTTGGCCACAATTATCATAGTACACCAGTGTGAAAAATCCTTTGATTTTTTTTTTTTTTTTGGTCATTTCCACATAACACTGCAGAATCACAGAATTTTTGCATTTCAGGGCTCCCATTATTAAGACCACAAGTATCTTTGATTTTAACATGTGGAGTCTTACATGCTCAAAATCAATAGGACTTCGGGGACCAAAACATAGTATAACAGTTCGGGCACATGCCTGATCTGGGTTCAACTCCAGGGACTACACAATCCCTGGAGCATCACTGAGTGCAGCCCTGGAGTGCCCCCACCACCCCTCCAAGCAGTGCTGGACTAGCCCAGGTCTCCCTGACACCACAAGGCCAGAGCAGCACAGCATCCTCAAGCCTTTTCACTGAACCTCTGACCTGGTTGGCTGAGAATTAGCAGCACACCCCTGCCCCCAGCCCCTGGGACCCTGAGGCCTCCTGAGCACTGCTAGGAAGGCCCTCTACCCAGAATTAATAAAACCTTATGGGTTTTTCAACACTTCTTTTTCACTGCTCAATAGATCATCTAGGCAAAAACTCAACAAGGAAACAATGGCCTTGGAAAAATAAATGGAAGGCATAGGCCTATGTTTCATATATAGGGCTCTTCACCCTTCCGTTGTTGAGTAAATATCCTTCTTTGTGCACATGGAATATTCTCCAAATAGAACACATTCGACCACATCTCCTTAAAACAAGAAGATAGAAATCAAATCAGCAGTTCTTTCAGATCACAAGACTTTGAAAATGAAAACTAATCAGAAGCAGAAATGTGGTAAAAACTCAAAACCCTTGGATATTACACAGCTTAATACTGAACAGCTAGTGGTCAAAGAAGAAGTCTGAGAGGAAATCAAAAGATACTTAAAAACAAATGAGAATGAAGAAACATGAATTACTGTAGCATATGAGATTTGGCAAAAGCAATTTGAAGGGCCAGAGTGGTAGGGTATTTTCCTTGCACACAGCTGACCTGGGTTTGATCCCAGCATCCCATATGGTCCCTCAAGCACTGCCAGGAGTAATCTCTGAGCATCACTGGCTGTGACCCAAAAAGAAAAAAAAAAGCAGTTTGAAGAGTAAATTTTATAGCAGTGCAGTCATTAGAAAGCAAAAAAAGACCCACGTAAATTAAAACAGCACAGTTTAAGCAGCCAGAAAGAGACCAGCAAAAGGAACCCAAAGCAAGATAAAGGAAATAATAAAACTTAGAACAGAAATTAATAAAATGGAAACTAAAAAAATATTCAAAAGATCAGCAAAACAAGAGCCAATTCTTGGAAAGAATAAGCAAGATTGACAAACTATTAGCAAGACTCACAAGGAGAGAAAACTCAAGTAAACTAAATTAGAAATGAAAGGGGAGATATCACAATACATGATACTATAGAAATTCAAAGAATTATCAGAGATTACTTTGAAAATCTTTATGCCATGGAATTGGAGAACCTAGAAAAAAAAAAGGGTGATTTTCTGGACTTCTGTAGTCTCCCAAAGTTGAATCAAAATGTAATAGACCACCTAAACCAGTTACTTTCAAGGAAGTTGAAGTAGTAATCAAAAGTCTCCCCAAATATAAAAATCCAGACCCAAATAGGTTTACTAGTGATTTCTTCCAAACCTTTAAAGAAGACCTACCCCCAATCCCTTCTAGGCTACAAAAAGACTAGAAAAATCTCCTAGAAACAATAGACTTGTACAGTAAAGTGGCCACCTACAAAATTAATGTGCAGAAAGCCATGAATTTTTCATATACAAATAGTAGAGAAGTTTTTTAAAAATCTCATTCATACTTACAACTTAGAAAATCAGATCCTAGGAGTCAGCTTAACCAAAGAGGTGAAGTGCTTGTACAAAGATAAATCATTACTAAAAGAAATGAAATGATACAGAGACATGGAAACATGTCCTGTGTTCATGGGTTGAAGGGATTTAATATTGTCAAAATGACAGTGTTGACCAAAGTACTATACAGATTCAGTGCAGTCCCTATAAAAATGCCCGTTACAGTTTTTAAAGACTTACACATTGTTGAAATTTACGTGGAGTAATAAACCCTCTTCCTACTCCCTGCTACACAAATACTGAATATCCAAAGAAATCCTAGGCCAAAGAAGATTAAAGGCTTCTCTTTACCCAATTTTTAATTATACTTTAAGAGTAGTGAAAAATGTGTTGCTGAAGCAAAAACAGACTCTCAGACCAGTGGAATAGAATTGAATGTTCAGAGACAGATCCTCATGTATATGGACAGTTAATCTTTGACAATGGAGCAAAAATTATGGATTGAGCAAGAAAAGCCTCATCAACAAATGCTCTGCATCATTCATCATCAGGAAAATGCAAATCAAAACAATGAGATATCTAACAACTAGTGAGACTGGCACATGCGATGAATGGCATAACCAACCAGTTTTCCCATAGATGTGGGGAAAAAGGAGTCCTATTTCACTGCTGGTGAGAGTATCGACTAGCCCATTCTTTTTTTTTTAAATTTATTTATTTTGCTTTTATGAGCCACAGCCAGCAGTGCTCAGGGGTTCCTCCTGGCTCTGCAAATTACTCCTGTCAGTGCTCAGGGGACCATATGGGATGCCCGGGATTGAACTCGGATCCGACACATGCAAGGCAAACGTCCTACCTGCTGTACTATCTCTCCGGCCCCAGTCCATTTTTTTTGGAAAATAAAATAAACACATCTCAAAAAACTAAGAATTGAGCTTCCATATGAACCTAACCATTTCACTTATTGCATCAACCCGAAGGACCCAAAAATTATTTTCAGAAAAGACATCTACATTCC